ACTAAATTTACAATATTTAATACACCAAATTAATAAAAATAAACTTTAGTCGCCTCTATTTTGTAGAGTTTATTAAACCTTTCATTTGAACTTGGCGTAATATTTTTTATTTAAAATTTGGCATCAAATAGCTCTAGCTCTTGTATTTTGAAAATTTGATACAATAAAGGACATACTGAGCTCGATGGCTCACTGGTTACTTCGTTCGGACCTCTGGAGATTACAAAACTTTGAAATCAGCGTGTGAGCATCTTTGCTACTTACGTCTTACACTAAAGTCTGTTCTGTAACATTCTCTAATGAAATAACCTTATATACTTCATAAAAAAATAAAAGAACATAACAGGTTGAAAATCTGCTTCCAAGCTTATATAAGCCACGTGTTAACTAAAGCTTTACCCTTCATGATGGGTAGTCTAAGACAATTGTTTTGGTAGCTTCAACATTTGCATGCACTGTTGTTTATTGATAATATTAGTGTTATCAGTTTATGGTACTATAGATCTATATATATGTTAACAATAGCTTCAAAATTATTTATATGTTACTGTTTATTACCTGAATAAATTAATAAATAAATAGTTCTTCAAGCATTAATTATCAAACATATCGATTGAAAAGCTTGAATATATATTATGTAACTATTGATTTATATATTGATGTTTCAACAGAATTTTGATTACTTATTATTACATATATTTACCAAATGATGTATGTATTTTACTATATACGTATCTTGCTCAACATCTACTTTATGGCTACTCATTTAAATTAATTAAGTAATCATTTATGAATTACCGTTGGCACAGCTACACCGTTTTCAGGTCAGAATTTTGGTCTCATTAGTATATCTCATTTGAAATAGATGTATACAGTATTATTTATTAAAAAAACATCGACGACTGTCTATTAAAAATGGTAGTACATGGAGGAAAAATAATGCTCAAATAAAAAAAAAAACACGATTGCCAAAATCGGTTTTTGTTCGATTTTGTTTGATGAATATTTTTTAATTATTTATTTTATTCCTTTAAGTGACCAGTAAATGTATACAAATTATATATTTTTGTAATTTAATCATCGAGACATTTTACCATATTTTTAAATGACGTCATACGACCGCCATATTAAATATTTAAATATATATATACCTATGTAACTTGCGATGATGTAAGGATTCTAATGACACCTTATATTTCTATGTTCGTTAAGTCTTTTAAAAGTTTTGGTGGAATAAATAAACTCACATACATACAGAAATGAACCTTAAATACAATACACTCCTTTTTTGGACAGTCTTATAAACATTCACTTTAGATAATTAAGATTCAATTTAATGTACTGCTCGATTCTTAACAACCCTACTAGATCACATCACTAATATACCTATATAGGTAGTTTACATAGTGGACCTAGCATAATCCTTTCTTTTATGAAATAAAACATAGACTTACAAATGTCACGACAGTGCAATTAAAACTTGACGAATCATTTTGTTCAAAATATTGTTAAATTTAAAATATTAAATAATGTTGTTCATAATGTTTGATATTTATTCACTGATTTTTGATGAAATAAAATTACATTTGGTTGGTTGCAACTTTAGGGGTCTGATGAACAAAAACTCTGAATCATATCACATAATACATCATTTAATCATTTGATAGAACAATGTTAGAACATTAAAACGGAGGTTTGCAATATTATAAAAAAAAAGGTGAATTGAGATGTTAGTTAATTAGAAATCAGAGTATAGTTTTGCGAGATTGCTGATATTTAAAAGCAAGAAAGAAACATTTTTATTGGACACGGACAACACAAACAGTACACAGAGAAAGTGAAAATTCTATTGCAACATAATAATAAGGATTTGTTTCAAAGTGAATCCATAGTCACATGTTTTATTACTAATAACCCTGTATAGGTAGGTTATAATGTATAGACACAATATAAAATTTGCTTTAATAATACTTTCTAGTAGATTAATTCCTTTTATAAATTTATTATATTAACTTTAAAATCTCATAAATTTATTTACAGATGAAACTGAAATTTATTTAACAATACTAGTTGAAAATTAGTGATTTTTGGGTTCAAACCCTCATAAACAACTGTCATTAAAACAGGTTTACGACATATTCTAATTAAGGTTGTCTATGTACGCATTTTATATCTTTACTAACTCCCGCGACTTCGCTTGAGTAAATTATAGTCTAAGCCTATGTCACCCGCGGTTGAATTAGATCGATCTAATAATTTTTAAAATCGATCCAGGAGTATCGGACTACTTTCAGATCCTTTTCTAGCAAACACACAAACAATCAAATCATTCCTCTTCATAAAATTAGTATAGATCTATATACAAATTATGCTATCCTTTTGTGAAAATAGCCAATACAATGGTATGCTTAAAAGCTTCCCAAAAATTTATAGGAAATCTAGCTGACCCGGAAAACGTTGTTTTGCCATATTTTGGAGTGGATTACTCTTGTCACTTAGGGTTATAAAAATATATAACCTATTCTCAGACCTACTGCATATATATATAATATACAGTAGGTCTGAGAATAGGTTATGTATAATATAAATAATATATAATATAAATATTGAACAACATCACATACATTGCTCAGATTCCAAGATGAGTAGCTAAAGCCCCCGTATTATGGAGTATCTGAGACAACGAAGGTACCACTACACCCAGACCCGAGTCAATATAGAAAAGTTCATTTTCCACATTGACCCGACCGGGAATCGAACCCGGGACCTCAGAGAGGGTGACACCATGAAACCGGCGTGCGAACCACTCGGCTATGGAGGTATAAGTATATATAAAATTGAACTGTGGTAATTAAAACTGTGACTCTATTATTTTCTATATAACATAGATATTATAGATCTAATGGTGAATTATAATTCTATCATGATCATGCTATGAACGTGTCAAGCACGGAAATAAACAATACTGTCTCCTATGCTCGCTCCACTGGATCAACAACTCTTAGGGCATCAATTACACCGGAGCATGTCACATTTGATTTTACTATGGTGTCACGCATGAGCGTTCTAATACGGGATCCTCTCTTTTAGTGTACTGTTCTCATTCCTAATATAGTATTATTATGAGAAAAATTGTTTTGGCAAATATGCCAATGGCTATGGTATAGTTTCTTTTTTTATGGTATACTTACTTCTTTTTTTTGCATGCAATATATGTTGGTATTGTTACAAAACAAAAAACGAGCCGAGCGAGCGAAGCGAGCGTTTAATGAGCGAGGCCAATATGTATGGACAAGTTTGTTACGTCCCTGTGTTAGGTTCGTAACAGAATTGTATAATAAAAAATGGTTTTTGGCAACACAGCGAGGTGTGACAGATTCCCTTTATATAACCCCACGAAAATGTATTTATATGTGCGTAATTTATTTTCGTGGCCAGAATAGGACCCTTTTTTCCTGCCAAAGAAGGAAAACACGAGTCTTAAATTTGTTTTTCTGAAGTGTTATTGTGGCATAGCTAACGGAACCATATTAATTATACAATCGCTATATGCATCTCCTTTAATCACATGTCTACCCATCATCAGTTTTAATCGATAATAAATATTTGTTACTAGGTATGATCCCGCGACTTCGCTCGCGTAAATTATAGACCCATAAGTGAAAGAATCTTTAAAAGCAGATCAGATTAATAAACAACCAAATCTTTCCTCCTTAAAAAATTGTATAGATACGCCATTGTACGTTATTTTTTGAAAGCGTGCGCAAATAAAAGTCCTTTCATAAGACACATCATTTGAACTAATAGCTTCCATTTCAAATATAGACTCCACAGAATATAAGTGTATATTTTTTTTATGTAGAAAGAAAGAAAAATGTAGTTTTCAATTGTTTTCTTGACTTGTACTATAAAATTGCATTGCTTAATTTTTCTCAACTTGAAGGTACGATAGAGCTGAGTAGATATACGGTTTTTGTTAAATTACAAATTATATACTTACATAATAGAATATTTCTTTTAATTGGCAATCATAACTATGATAATCCGTTGCTGTTGGACATTAACTCATTTAGGTACTTAACTTCAGACGAGTATTATATACGAAGTAGTTTAGTATATAACAATTTTAATTTCAACTTGATACCTTGACACGTTCCCAACATAAAGGGCCTCGACAGGCAGACAGACGTATGGACAAATTTTCTTTCTAAAGTGCGGAACCCTAAAAATGGAAAAGGGACTTGGTGGCTAGAGTGCTCGAAACCAACTTTTCAAGCATTATGTCCCAATACATACAAATAATTATGGAAAATTATAATAAAAACTTTTTTGTTTCAATATAATTTCTTTAGACATCCAAAATATGAAATGCATAACAATATTTTTGTTCATTTACATATATTATATACCTAGTTACGTTTTTTTAATTATTACCTATTGCACAATCGGTTTCTATTTATTGTTACAGTATATATTTCGAAATTTGTAACATATATATCGTCGGTATAAGAGAAATATTAAAATGCCCGTTACGCTCAATCAAATTTTATTGGTCGGTATAAAACCATGAAAACGATTACAAACACGGCATTCTAGAAAGACAACCAATTGACACCATCGTCACCTTGGTTTTTAATAAAAAAAGTGAGATTGTGAAAAAAATCATACTATACATGATTATCAAAATGTTAAAGTTTTTTAATGCAGTGATTCGATGCAAATTGCATTTCCGTACAATCGATATTATCAAAAATGCTAATATTATATCGATCTAAGTTATAATTCTATAAATCAAAATATTGTTGATAATTAAAAAGATAAATCGATTTTTTTTTCACTCACACGCGCTTACCCATGTACACATGGAAAGGGAGCCACCTCGGGCGAAAGTGTTTGCAACATTAATCTACGAAACAACCACCACGAGGTATATAACCAGAGGACGGGCACGCCACAACACACTCCAGCGCAACATTCGCTGAATACCGAGCAAGGCGAACATGAAGCTATTGGTTAGTTCAATCTATATAATATAAGACATTAAAAAAGGAATAAGTTGGATTCCATAATCATATGATTTGTTTATAATGAGGTTATTAATCTAGATTTTAAGAAAAAACAACGGTTCTTGTTCGTGATAATGAAAGCTCAAAAACATTATTTATTCTAAATTTTATTTTATATTTTTGTTGCAGAGGTCGTCTTTATTCCTGGCCGTGGCTTTATGCCTGGCCACGGCAGAGGAGAAGGCGGAAGACACAAAGGCTACAGACACTAAACCAGTGGCGGAGAAGAAACAAGATAAGAGAGGACTATCCGATTTTGGTTACGGTGACTTCGGCGGACACGGTGATTTCGGCGGTCACAGTGACTTCGGCGGTCAAGGCGGGTTCGATGAGGGCAGCATCGGCGGCTTCGAGCATCATGGCCACGAGGAGCACGTGAAAACCATCACTGTTGTCAAGAAAGTGCCAGTGCCTTACCCCGTCGAGAAGCACATCCCTGTGCCAGTCGAGAAACGTGTGCCGGTGCCAGTGAAAGTGCCAGTACCACACCCGTACCCAGTCGTGAAAACCGTACACTTTCCAGTCAAGGAATACATCAAAGTGCCCGAGTATATATCTAAGCCGTATCCCGTTGAGAAAGAAGTGCCAGTTCCGGTTACAGTACATGTTGACAGGCCTGTCCCAGTGAAAGTATACGAGAATGTACCTTACCCGGTCGAGAAACACATTCCCGTACCAGTGAAAGTGCACGTACCCCACCCGTACCCTGTCGAGAAGACCGTGCACTACCCGGTCAAAGTTCCAGTCAAAGTGCACGTACCGTACCCGGTGGAAAAGGTCATCCACTACCCCGTTAAAGTGCCAGTCGACAACCCCGTCCCCGTGCACGTCGAAAAACCAGTGCCCGTTCCAGTCGAGAAGCCAGTGCCGTACCCAGTGGAGAAACCTGTACCTTACCCAGTTAAGGTGCACGTTGACAACCCAGTACCTGTTCACGTGGAGAAACCAGTGCCTTACCCAGTGAAGGTTCCTGTCCCAGCACCCTACCCCGTTGAGAAGATCATCCCTTACCCAGTGGAGAAGAAAGTTCCCATCCCTGTCAAGATACCCGTTGACAGGCCTATCCCAGTGCCTATTGAGAAGCACGTGCCCTACCCAGTAGAGAAGCACGTTCCCTACCCAGTCAAAGTTCCTGTACCTCACATCATTCATGAGGAGAAACATGAAATCTCCCATGACCAAGGCAGCTTCAGCCACGGTGATTTCGGTGGCTACGGAGGCTACGAGGGTGGCCAAGAGGAGTACCACCATTAACAGAACTGATCTCTCCACAATTTAGCTTTAAATGTTATTTTTTGTTTAGTTCTCCTTAAGTATTGTTTTATTTTTACGACTGGTTTATACGTGTTATGATGTAAATATTGAACGAGAGTATTAAAACGTGATAAATATAATAAACAATTCTTATTATTTAATTCCTTTACCCATATCACTTCAATTAATTATAGACTGTTTTGATAAAACCTTTAAATTGTATGATAATTTAAATAATAATTTAAAACGATATAAACAGTAATGATTTGACTAAATAATTGATTATTAATATTACTTATCACAATATTTATTTTAAATCTAACCTATATTTGAAATACTAGTCGTACGATTTCAAAATTTTAAAACCTGATATTGTTTCGTTTCATTGATCTATTCGTATTACGGAAATTCAGATTCAAACAGATAAATCGCGTAATAATTTTCTTAATGACCCTTCGGATCATTATGTTAGTGCCTTGTAAATTAATTTCCTATTCGTAATAAGCGGGCTAGAAACGTCCACAACTTGCGTAATTTTACGTAACACTCGCAGTCTCATCTAGCTACAAATATTACGCACATAACATATCAATTACTGTGCACCGAATAATCGTAGTTTTACAACCTTAAACTGTTTCGTATAGAGTTGAAACTATACGGAAGATTTACGATTTTCACAAGTTCTGTAGGTCAGTAAACTGAGGAAAAGATGGCCGGTCGTATTCTGATATAGTTTTCGTAAGACGATAACGACGTATATAGTAACGGAATATTCACACGGAATTTGAATGAACCTAAAGTTTGTTTCGTGAATTTTCGGATGACACTAATATTGTGCCATCAACGTAACTTTTGAATATTCTAAAATTAAGTAACTAAGGTAAGTTCGTTTGGATATCAACGCAATCAACGACCGTTTAACAAGCTTTACGAAAAATTCTGAGATAATTATGATAAGCAGCAGTTCCACGAACATAGCACTATATCTCCGAAACTATTAATCGCAGACATGCTGTTTCTTCCACATTATATCTCAGATGTGAATGGACTATTTATATATACAATAAAACAAATTTCAACTAGCCTATTGCAATGGTTTTTTTAAGAAATAGCCTTTAGGAATCCGGTTTTGAATATCGTCTCGGCCATTTAGGAGTAGCAAATTTTTAAGTATTTTAATATAATAAAAATGATGTCAGTTTTTTGGAAACAAAAAGAAACAGAATTTGAACTCTATCGTTTCATAATTATTAGCGGAAATCGATCTGGTCACCACAATTTCCTTCGTGAGTGAGCTATTAAAAAAATGTTACGAGGCGTCGGGCAGTAAATCTAGCTGTCGGAATCTATAGTAAAGGTTTATACAGACGTATTAAGTAAACCAATAACTTTACTTAAGTTGTTTATATTATTTAAACCGACTTGCAAAACACATAACGTATGTATGTCAAGAATTTTGAAAAGTAGCATCCTTATTTTATAATAAATTATCTCTTCTTGCATTTCTTTATATTTGATTTATTAATAAAAATATATAACTTGACTATTAAAGTAATATGTTTTTCTATAAAGTAAAACATGTACGAAAAAATGCTCCAGTTCCTTTAAATAGCCTCATCTGAGGGCACGGAAGTGCCTCCGCCGAGTTGAGCAAAAAAGTAAAAATGGCACAGCAGTACCTACTATAATTTTCTAAAAGCCATTCGAGCCATTTTTACTTTTTGGCGACAAGTATTTTAATAATTTTACTAAAAATAATTAAATATATTGTTTTGATAAAATAAAACCGACTTCAAAAACTTGAAAAGTACTCGCAATGCTCCCGACATCAATAAATTTTTTATGAACATATGATTTCTGAATCAAAAAATTAATCGCCAATGGTCGCAGGTTAGAATATGTTAAACGAATATAAACCATAAGTAATACAATATTAAATTAATTTTTCATGTGTTCTTATAGGACATATAGTCAATTGCACAAACGTCCAATTTTGTATCTAATGTCAACTTTAATGGATGTTTGTGCAACTGGATGTTATAGTAGCAAGTAATCACTTACCTTATGTATGGTATATTGGCCGGTATGTGGTACTTGGAACCTGGATCGAAGTCCAGCTCTGAACGAAGCACGGGTGGTTTGATGCCTTGGTACTGCTCCCTAAACAATAAACATACATCAATTAATAATATAAATCCTAAAATAACAGATAAATGTCATAAGATGGCTGACCAAAAATTTATTATCTCGAGCTCTTTCATGCTTTGGAAGACATGTTAAGCTGTTGATTCTAAGAAGTAACATCTTGATTTTATAATAGACAAACTTAAAAACTTCTGGTCAGATTTTAATGTTTCTTTCTGTCGATATAAAGTTACATTAATGAGGTACATATGAAATCCTTTATCCTTACTTATATTATAAATTCAAAACTTTGTTGTTTGTCTGTCAACACGATTTCTCACCAAAACCAATAAAATAAAATGAAAATCAAACACATAATTTATTGTAGTGAAATTTGACTTAATTTTTCGAAAATAATTATTGTTATGCAAAACACTCAAACAAAGAAATTTATTTGTGTAAAATCTTTGTGTGTTTAATAAGTCATAAAGTAACTTAAAGAAAATGAAGACATAAATTAATTTTAAAGTCTGGTATAAGAAAATATTGAATGAAAACGAGATTAGTAGTTACGATAGTTATTAATATTCTAGGTTAAGCATACCTAATTAAAGAAACAACACTTTGATTACAATAATAACATTGTAAAAATAATAATTGTCAGTTAAGGTTTGAGAAATCAGGCCAGTTTGTAAATACTCGTGATTTGGTGAGGCAACGACCGCTGAGCAGATTTCATAGCGTATGTACCGTGTGAGATTAATAAATATATGGTGCATGTTATAAGAAACAGCGATAATCCTCTTAAAATATTTAAAAAAGATTTAGTTTTTAGCAATATGTTTTTTTATTTAATATGTAGTTTTCTGCAATATATTCTTTTGTAAACTTTATTTATGCTTTTTGTGAATATAGTATCTCACTGAAACCTTCCTATAATAGAGATATATTACATATATTATAGATAAATTATTACAAATAAATGATATACTTCAAATATTTAAAAAGACAATGATATTCCCGTTGTTAAGTATTTAACTAATTAATTATGAATGCAAGTAAGTTTGTAGAGTAGCCCGGTGGCGTAGTGGATAAGCGCCGCGGCCCGCGATCGTAGTCGTTAAGCAATTTTCGCGCAAGGGTCGGTCACGGGATGGGTAACCAAAAAAAAATAATTATTATCTCGAGCTTCTCCGTGCTTCGGTAGGCACGTTAAGCCGTTGGTCCCGGCTGCATTTGCAGTCGTGAATACCCTCCAATCCGCATTGGGCCAGCGTAGAGGGTCATGGCCCATCCTCCTTAACTATCCATAAGGAAGGCCTGAGCCCCTGGAGTGGGGACGTAAAAGGGCTGGTGATGCAATTAAGTTTAGAGTATGTTACATATATAGGTACACAATAGTATGAGTTTGTCTATAACGATAATATTATAAATAAAAAGTTCAACAAGTTACAATAAACTTGTTTAAAAAGAAGAAATGTAATCGTGAAATTTTAGTTTTCATGAGTTATTTAATATAATCTTAAAATTTCCCGCTGTTTCTTCTGACTTGGACCATACCGCGTTCACTTTCGTAGCGTCTGCTTGAACCTGTTATCGAGTCAAGGCCGACCAACGACCGTAATATCAACCACCATCACTGATCTAATTTTACATTGCATTCGATATTTGTATGTTGAGCATTAATGGTCAGCGGCCGATTGTGTGTGAAGGGCATTGTAGAGTGTACTGATTGATTTTACGTAAATATATTTAGGTTCAAAGTGACTGGTGCCACCGTCCTTGTTTCTCTTTTGTTTTTGTAATAGTCCAAGTAAAGTTCTAGAGAAAATTATAAAGATATTTTCATCATCAGCCCTATTACGTCCCCACTACAGAGGCTCAGGCCTTCCTTATGGATGGTTTAGGAGGATGCGCTAATGGGAATTGCAGGGTATTAACGACTGCAAATTCAGCCGGGACTAACGGCTTAACGCGTCTTCCGAAGCACGGAGTAGCTCGAGATAATTTTTTTTTTCGCAAGGGTCGGTCACGGGATGAGTGACCGACCCTTGCGAAAAAAAAATTATCTCGAAAGTTGCTTAACAGCAACGATCGAGTTCTGGGGCGCTTATCCACTACGCGACCGAGCTACCTCAACGAGCGCTAAAAATATTATAGGAAAGTAAAAAAAAAGAACTAGTATTTTTCTATAGGACTCGTATAAAATCAAATACATCGCTAATACAAATATACTCACGATAAATCAATGACAAGAACGACAATTTTATGTTTAGTCGTCGTTTTGTTTAATAAGAAATCATACGTATTACAATCACTTTGAAACAGATAATTAATAATTGATTTTCACATAGATTTTATTCGATATCATTCATTTGTGTATGTTATTAGAGGAAGACTGTAACATATTTTTTCTAATGCCTTTAGATATTTTTAAAGCGTCTAAGTACGGAAAATTGGGGCCAACTTGGTCCCCATTATATCTACCTAGGTTCTGAAATAAACATTGACTATATTACAAGATTTTATTTAACTAGCCGTATCACTTTGTTTATAATGTGGGTCAAATCTTGCAAGCTAAATTGGCTTTCTACTTCCCGGTTTTTGATTGAGCTGAAATTTTGTAACTCGGATACCGATGCATTTATAAGGAATGGAGCGTAAATAGATATAAATATATTTACATGATATGTTTATTGTTAAAAAAACCTTATTTATTGCTAAACCAAATACCAAACAGAAATACTTTTACTTTCCTTGCTCTCAAATTGTTATTCTCTATCACACTGGCGATGCATGATTAATTTATAACATAACAATTATGAATAACGGATTGTAAACGCAACGATTGTGTTCGCCGTCGGAGATTGATATATCTGTCGAATAGGACCAGTAAACAACCCCTCATTATAGGTAAATACATAAGCAATTATTAAATAACTAGGTGCATAATGTATGATGTAAGAAACTTCACGCCCAACGCTTCGAGTAATGAACTGGCGCATCTTCTAGGTCACCTACATTTTTTAATTAAATAATTTTAATAGTTGTAGTACTAATATTTGAGGATTGGATAATAAAAACAAACAAAAAAGGGCAACGGAAACATTAGGATAGGATAACATGACATTATGACAGGATAGGTTAACATATCATTGCATTTTTTTCTTATTAATATGGCATTGTGAATTCAAAATTGATCAAGTATAATAATATCATTATTTTAATTTAAAGGATGGGATAACCGTATATTAAACCCTAACAGCAAGTTAGATATACTTTCGAATTTAATATTATATCAATAAGGATAAGTTTCCAGTTGACGTCCAAGTTTTCATACCCAGACTACTAGGCGCACAGAAATATCAGTTGTTATGATAAAATCTTGAACTAACCTTAGTCTCCACCAATGGCAATTGTACTGCTCCTTCCTTATATCTCCCGTAAACACATCCCACCTCCATTTATCCATCACCAGGGCGAATGGTAAGAAGGCCAGTTTGTCCATAGCTTGTGTGAACAGGTAATTAATATCATGAGCTGTGTCGTCCACGGAGCGTTGGACTAGACCGAGGGTCTGGAGGTGGCGGGGGGATGCCACGGAGAGAGCCACGGCTTCCCCTATGGCTTCATGAAAACCTATAACAGAAAAAGAAGAATTAGAATTGTACTAAAAAAGCTATACTAAGAAATATGACGTATATGGCACAGATTTAAGCCTGTCTAGAATAAAGAATTTATAGGTCATCAAGAACCAATAAATATAGAAAAAATTACGTCTTTTTCAACAGGCAATCGACTGGAGACTTCAGAAATTATAACACCAGGTATTTCGGTATTCTATTAGTTTTTAACAAATAAAATGTATAAAAAAAAATTGTCTGCTCATGAAGTACCTACTCATGACTCTTTAGCTCTAAATATGAATGCAGTCATATTTTCACTATTCTACTATTCAGGATTGGTTAGTGCGTACTAATGCACTCACCACTACAACATTACGCTCGCATCATATTTATTTACTTGTCAGATCTGTCTTTTGACTTATTAAGGTTATTAGCTAACAAAAAAATTGCAAGTCGATCATGAGTAACTCAAACAATACAAAAATCTTCACTGTAAGCATACATGATAACAATAAGAAAATAAATAATAACAAAAACAGAGGTATGTATTCTAATTGAAATAATTATATGGCACGTGTCTAAAGTAAGTAAATAAAACAATTGACAAAACCTTCACAAACAGGCCGTGACGGTGATGAAAATCACGCACCGAGATTCACTACCTTATTACAACGCACAATAATATAAAGAGTGATTCATATGAATGATTTGTGTCATTAAAGAAGAGTGATTTAGATGTGCAATGTTTTCATTTTGATTTTATGAATAACACTCTCTTAAAATAATATTGTTCTCATTTACAATAATAATTTATGAAAGTTCAACCTTTTTATTATGTTCAATCCATAAAAAGGTTACTCGGTTCTACGATTATGGACACAAAGCATTTCTCGCGGACGAGAAAATTAATTTAAGTTAATAAACTGTTGGTAAAAAAATATCTTTACATATCATTAATAAACAATCCATCAAAAATAAACTACATGCAAAGATAAAAATGAGTTATATCTTTCAATCACCTCCCCCACTACGTTACCTATAAGTGAGTATTCTGTTTTATAAGAATGAGCCATCGATTTTGCTGTCACGTTTTGTGTTTTTTAATCACTTCCGAATATTTCACCGTTCAATTCAAAGGTCAGTGATCAATTTTTGTTGGATGTCTGAAATAATCATTTTAGACGCACCAATTACTGGATAACGAAGTCGAATGAAAGTTGTCACTTTAAGACTCTTATAATATCCGTGATCTTTGAAGAGTAAAATGCCTTATCCTATTAAAACAAATAACTAGGCAATTTTATTATAACATAATCGAAAACAGATAAAAGATAGTTGACCTAATTGTGTCGGAGTCAAAATTAACAGAGCCACCTTGGGTTTAGATATGCAGATAAAAAGGATAACATTTTTTAAAAAGTAGAGCTAGATAGGCATTTCAGTAGTTACGACGTAGCTGAAGAACTGGGGATTGACCACAAAACAGTTTGATAAAATCTGGGTATACAAAAAAGTTTTATTTTATTTATTTAAGGCTACAAACAGTCATATACATAGAAAAATAATTATTATAAATTGTTGAAGTTATAATAGACCTATAGTGCTTATAAACAGTAATTAAGTAACAATAATTAACAATAATATAATAACGCACGTTGTGAATGACAATGTCACTAACCAAAAACATCGTATTTTTTACTTTTGCCAACATTTTGCTTTGTTAAGTATAAACTTTAAAATGCAAAGATCCCTGTGAACGTAAAAAGGATAACATTTTTTAAAAAGTAGAGCTAGATAGGCATTTCAGTAGTTACGACGTAGCTGAAGAACTGGGGATTGACCACAAAACAGTTTGATAAAATCTGGGTATACAAAAAAGTTTTATTTTATTTATTTAAGGCTACAAACAGTCATATACATAGAAAAATAATTATTATAAATTGTTGAAGTTATAATAGACCTATAGTGCTTATAAACAGTAATTAAGTAACAATAATTAACAATAATATAATAACGCACGTTGTGAATGACAATGTCACTAACCAAAAACATCGTATTTTTTACTTTTGCCAACATTTTGCTTTGTTAAGTATAAACTTTAAAATGCAAAGATCCCTGTGAACGTAGCTTGCGTAGAAACTGCTAGATGGCGTAGTGACGATACGTTGTTTAGAGGGGCTGATTACAATTTCTTGAACTTTAAACGCTCATTACTCAAAATCGCATTTTTTGCATTGTGCCACTGACGTTCTCAACGATTTTGTTTCAAAAATTTGAGAGTACAATAACATTAGGAGGATATTATCATATATTAAAATATGCTATGTAAATACTTATGCACTTAAGTTAACAATATTGGACAAAAAGAATAAACAAAGCAAAAAAAAGGAACATATTGAGTAAAATAGCCCGGCAAGGCTATTTAGTGCTCAACAACTTCTGATAAGTGATACTAATACCATTTTTTAATGCAAATATATCACACACACATATTTACATACACACAAATATTTATGCATATGGAATAAGGGTTGTTTGATATAATTTTAAATTAATTACTAGTTAGAATTTCCGAAAGAATACATTTCAATTTCTGTAGCGATATATTAAAGATGTCTATATGGGTGGAATCATGGTTGTAAATATTAGTGGAAAGGTATAAAAATGAGTTGCGCGTATAGTTTCTACGGTATTGCGGAGGAACAAAAAGTGGTTTCAAGCGTGAGGAGCGCATTGGAAGTCGAATATTTGGCGCATTGGATATTTGGGTACCTCACGAGCTCACTGAAAGAATCCTAATGAACCATGTACACATTTGTGATTCTTTATTACTGCGTAATGAAACTGTACCATTTTTCAAGATGTTGATAACTGGTGATCATAACGAGAAGAACGTGCGAAAAAATTCTTGGTCAAGTAAGTAATTAACTAAGTGGTAGTGTAAGTAATTACGTCATCATCAGCCCTTTTACGTCCCCACTGCAGGGGCTCAGGCCTTCCTTATGGATGGTTAAGGAGGGTGGGCCATGACCCTCCACGCTGGCCCAATGTGGATTGGAGGGTATTAACGACTGCAAATGCAGCCGGGACCAACGGTTTAACGTGCCTTCCGAAGCACGGAGTAGCTCGAGATAATAATTTTTTTTTTTTTGGTCACCCATCCCGTGACCGACCCTTGTGAAAGTTGCTTTACGACTACGATCACGGGCCGCGGCGCTAATCCGCTACGCCACCGAGCTACTCAATACTTATTAATTACGTAATTAATCTAAATTATTATTTTTCTGAACGTACCATATTTCTTTTACGTTTCCCTGTACCATAAAAAAAACTATAGTTTCCGTGAGTTGCAGAGCTGACTAAACGGGATCAGCTTCCGCGTCCGCTTTCTCTGCGAACTGTTCACTGTTACTAGTATGCTATTGTCAGCTTTGACCTACTTATAAATAATACGTAATGTTTTGTGTACAATTTTCTTGAGGAATTATTAATTTATCAAAGAACACTCAAATTTTTTATTTATGATTTGTTTAGTTAATATAATAAAATATTTATTGTCTTTAGAATTATGTTTTATTTGGTTGAAAAAAAATGAATATGAAATTGTTTTTTTTTTACAGAATGACTTTACTGAACCTGACTGACCTGAACCTGACTGTGGACTGACATTATTAAGTACTACTTACATACTGCACAGACAAAAGATTTTAATAAATATCTTATTAATGGGATTTAATAAGATATTTAAGCAACTGATAGATGGATCTTTAACTTGTATCCGATTCTATTATTATATATTAATACTTAAGGTAAATTCTGTAAGTATCCTTACGATCAGTAAAAATCATAAATTAGTTTTAATTTTTGATTCTGTTTTGTTTTTCTCATTACTCGTGGTTTCTGATGGAAAAACAGCTTTATGTCTTTTTTATTTGATTAAGATCAATTTTCAAATATACCAAAGAATACTCTTATATATGCTGCTACAAATATGTGCTCGAGTTACATAAACGCCCTTGATAGTAATGTTATTTCATGTAATGTTAGTTAAATAGATATTTGAGATTAATAAGCATAAATTGACTATACAAAACATGATTTTGATGACGCAGTGGCTAGCGCGTTCAGTTTGCGATACGGAGGTTAAGCAACTTACACAACGGCCAATCAAAGGATGGGTGACCGTAAATTTACAATCTCAAGCTCCTCTGTGTTTCGGAAGGCACATTGAACCGTTGGTTCCGGCTGCACCTGAATCCGCAATGGGCTCGCACGATAAGATTAGAGCTTGTTCTCTCTATTCGGTTCGATTATAGATAAGGCGGCAACCACAGCAGACCGACGACGAAACGCCCGTAATATTAAATTTTTTTGATGTTTGGAATCCTAGAACGCTAGACCTAGTGACTACAGAGTCTGCGAAGGATTCTTTGTAGAAATATAACACAAACTGTAAGTTACATCTTTAATTTTGGTATAATAATATGGTATATTTACTTTAAATGTACGGTAACACAATATTCAATCGCATCTGATGGTCACATTAAGGCTCTGCTTTCACTTAACGGTGACGTAATCTGTGCCGGGGTTTCCTACCAATAGTTTTATGCCATGCACTTATGAGCAAATAAGGTAATTATTCAGACATATGACTTAACAAAGATTTATTCACATATTAATAATAGTAGTCACATAAACGTTTTTAATTTATAAGCTTATAATTCAAAGTTCATTTATCGTATTTTTTTTAAAGGTACCTAAGCGCCAATTCTGGTTTAATTTGAAGAAATTGTTGACCATTTTTGAGTACTCGCGTGAGAAGACGTTCAAAAATCAATTACTAAAACTTCACTGCAAATGAAACAAAATATAGAAAAATAGTCTGAGGGATGGTGTATGTGTTTTAACTGGATGTTTAGTATCATTTCAATCCCTACTAATATTACAAATGTGAATGTAACTACATTTGTCTGTTGTTCTTGTTGTTCTTATTTAGATGAATATTTCGTAAAGAGATAGACTTTGGTAAAGGAAGGCTACCTTTTAATGCAAAAACGTGGTTGAAATAGGGGATGAAAGTTTGTACCGAAGTCCGTTATTGAAAGTAATCTCAATATAGACACATAAAGTGATCGGGAGTCATGATTAATTGTGAAAAACCTAATGTGAGTTATTTTTTAACAAAAGGTCTGTTTTACAAGTATTTTTCTATATAAAACTTGTGTCGCCTATGACTTTCTCTGATTTCACTTCTGTTTTATGGTTTTTTCAAAATTTTAAAATACTTTATCTATTAAGCCTGCTCATTATTTTTCTTTTAAAAAAAATAATATTTAGAAAAATCCATCAATGCTAGTATGTTTCGAAGTAAAAGATTTCTTTTACTTCTAAAAATCAACCCAAATTTGACGTCTATAATATTTGTATAAATTAAATCGGGAAGCAATTATTTGGCTTTACAAATAAAACAACATAATGTAGTTACGGTGTTGAAATCAAACAGACAATGATAAGAGTTTTTATATTTAACAACGTGACTTCACATAAAAACTAAGAAATTGTACTTATCATGTTCGAATTGCACAACGGATTTGCCTTTCACAGTTTCCATTAAAATAAAGCCAAACATTCGATGTTCTCAACGTTGATACTGATTTATGAAACAAAATCATAATTCGTTAAAATACCACCAAAAATATAAAAAAATAAATGAAACAGACTTATAAAAAAAGCTACGAAACAAAAGTGAAAAACAATTCGGGAATCCTTTATTGAAATCTGGCGGTGGTATTATTTTAAAGGTCTTATTTCCGCATTTCTACACTACCTCGATTAACTAACCACACTACACTACTCAACTAAAATAACTTTTTAATTCATATTTTGATTCACTCAATACATTACCTAGTTTTTTATTTGTATTTGAAAATAATTTATTTGTACAAAACTATCAAGGTAGATATGAAGATATTACGCGTAAACCAAAACATAAAGCTTTGAAAGACAGGACCAAAGTAGTTTTTATTTAAAAATATGTTCTTGGCATTAACAACTGGATTCGTAGGTTTTGTTTTGTGCATTGTTTCCCTCTTTTGAACCTCTATTGGATAAGATAGATAAATATACCACTAAATATACCACAGTCCAAACATAGCTGTTTTATCATAAAATTTTATCATGACATCAAGATGATGGCATTTCATGTCAGAAACCATTCGACGATAGACTTTAATTCTAAATCTTTTTTTTTTATTATTAGGCTCACAAATCTGGTTTGAAATGATCACATTAATACATAAAAAAAAAAAACATTTAAATCTTTGAGATTACATTAAAACCTGCTACGATGTAAGTGCAACATGCATAAGTATTTTAATGTAATGAAAGTTAATATTCTTAATACCTAACAATACAACCTATACCAAATTTTACTTTATATACTTATTATCCATTTTTTCTCTGGGCCATACATTCTTGGTATTATAACTAATTGAATTAAGGTCTGTGGATCACGTAACGTAATTCAGTTTAACAAACATTACTCCAGTGAAATACACCTTTTACTTGCCTCATAAATTATGAATTTCATTTACAATAATATAAGTGTCACTTTAGTTTCACTTTTGTGCATAATTCAATATGGTAAGTCTGTTTCTAGTTTTTATTATCTATATTGTATAATATTTGCGGAAGTTAAATTAATTTCTCAGAAAAAGCCGAAGCTGAGTGACTATAAATTAATTAACTTGAGATGTTAAGTACTTCAGGAGATATGTTAAAAGAGCTACAAAATCTCTACAGATTTTTTACAAATTAATATTATTATATTTAATTAATATTGCATTCACAATGCTATACTGAAAAATATTCTTAAAGAAAAATGCTTAAAAATCCATTTCGTCCCTGGCACTCTGAGATGGGACTCGAATCCATGACCTTAGGTAAAATTTTGGGTGGATTGCCTGAAAATTGATAGAAATACGCTCTGTAGTAGCAAAAAAGTACAAAGCGCTTGAAAAATTCGGTAGTTCTGTCATGTCCTGGGAAGCTCAGTTGTATGAGAAGTCGCCCAAATCGCGAAAGCTCATGGATTCGAGTCCCATCTCAGCGTGCCGGGGGAGAAGTGGATCTTGAAGCATTTTTCATTAAAATTAAATATTGTAGATAGGCTGTTCATTAAAAATTAGTAAACAAACATCATATTTGTGAGAAATTTATCACAGACCAAACGTGAATTTATTTAACAACATTATAACGTCACAAAATTAAATTTTTGATCCCACGATAAAATAAAAGTAGATGGTCTGGTTAATAACATAAATGTATGTCTATCAAGATGATCTATAGGTCGACAACGACTTTTCACAAATAACTTTGACTAAACAGTTAAAAACTGCGTAAAAAACATACATTGCCTTTTCGATTTCTAAGTCGGTTAAAATATAATTTCGAATTTAGGTTAATAAAAGTTATTCACAAAGTTTGATAAATTAGTTGAGTTCCAATATCTCTTCTCAAATAGAAAAAGATAATATACAACTGAAATTTCGTATATTTTCTAAATTAAATTTGCCCTTAAACTTAATTGGAGTAGGTCATGCCAAATGCCCCATTTGAAGCCTTACTTTCTCTACAATTGGATTATAACTAGATTGTAAACTTGACACCACTAGTGTAACCCATAGACAAATATTGATACTCATCTATTTAAATTAAAAATTAATAAAGGTATCTATTGTTTGATTGAATTTTTAATACGACAGTGCTGTATTCGATACTGCGTTCGACGACAAATTATAAGAAACAAATTGTTGTTTTGATTAAAATGAGAAAACAAAAACGACTTTCAACTAAAAGAAGTCTTTGAATGTTTAGTTGAGGAAAAACTAAATTACTTATATTGTTTGCATTTGTTTTTTTTTATGCAGCCACTTCGATACTATGTTACGACTGCAACAGCGCATTTGACCCTCGTTGTGGCGAAGAATTCGATCCGTTCAGCTTAGGAATTGTCAATTGTTCACTAAAAGATCCATTGGACCATATACCACCGACGGAGCCCACGCTTTGTCGCTCCATCAAGATGGAAAGTGAGTCATCTAAGTGTAATTTTAAAGGATAATTAAACGTCAACTCTTTACTACGATCCTCTAGAGTGCCATTTAGAAAAAATGTTTTTAATTATTATCAAATTTTTATACGCAGAAATAGACTGAAATGCAATGCCATGGTAAATAATGAAATGGGATACACGCTCATAATTCCCCAATAATTGCTAGTTTATAATCAGCGTGAGCCTCTTGAAGGCTACAAAGAATCGGCATATATAAAATAACAACATCTTTTACAAAAACGATCTTAAAATACCTAATCTAATACATTGACCAAACGACGTTAGAATTCGCCATTCTATCAAATGGGAGAGAATCGCTGGTAATTTTCATCAGTCTCTGAATATCTTTATCCATTGTTACAGTTGAAGGAAAGATCCGCGTAGTCCGTCAGTGCGGTTACCTTACTGATGAAGACTCAAATGGAACATCCTGTAGAAGACAATCAGGGACAGGGGACCTGTTCGTGACGTATTGTTCGTGTGATACAGACCTATGCAATTCCGCCACATCAGTTAACGCCCAATTATTGCTAATAGGTGTTATATTACTGGGCATTTTTGTTTGATTTGTTGAATGTGACTTTAATTGGTATTGGTAATTTAGATTTCGAAACAAATTCCTTCTGTTCTTAGATTTTGGTAACTACTTTTAAAATTCATTGATTTAAAGATTACTGTTAAAAATACTCATAATATTGGGTAAGATATCTGTGATATCTTCTTAAAGGCTTATCCAGCAGGTACGTTAGAAAAGAGATATATGTTACTTTCAAAATATGATAGGTCTATAAATTACATTAAACCATATATCGATGATTCTGTTTTGTGAGGAACTAGTTCAAGTAAATCAATTATTATAGTAAAGATTTTTTTTTTTTATTTCATATTAAACTCACCAGGGTTGGCTCCATCGCGGAACACTTTAGGCTGATTTCTGTATGCTAGAAAGTATTCAATGTGAGCCATCTCGTGGTGGGCAGTCACCAGATCTTTCATGTCCACGTGAGTGCACATCTTTATTCTGAGAACAACATTTTCATTTTTACAATTATGTTAACCAATTAATATAATAGCAGGGAATGAGCTTAGTTTATTGTAATTTGGCATTAGGTAAAGCATATTGTTAATTAAAAAAAAAACAAAAAATAGTGTCGGCATTTTATATTATTAAATGTATTGTAGTCTTAAACCAACTTTTCCTCAAAGAAAATGGAGGTTTTATTGAAATTATGAAACTTTAACTAGCTAAGTATTAAGACGTCCCAAATGGGTGTAGATTAAAATGTTTGATGGTTTAACAGTGCTTTATGCTTTTTGAATAAAGATTACTTCTTTAATTGAACAAAGTTCTTAATAGTTTGTCACTTTTATAACTAAAATGCATCCAGCTTAAAGAGCCAGAACTAAGTAGCAAGTAACTAATAACTACTTATAACATAACGAAAAGCTAGAGAAGTGTTATTTACAGTTCATAATGTTTTTTTCTGAGAAACTTACCGATAATCGTGCTTATTACAAAAGTCCCAGGCTGACGGCTGGCAGTGGATGTGTCTGTCCGCAGGCTGGTCCAGTACGCTCAGCGCCCAGAAGTCTGGCGGCATGGCTGACATGTTCATCGATACGAAAAACTCCTCGGCCAATTGGAAAATCGTAAGAGGTGTGAAACCCTGAATCAGAAGATAAACATTTCTTATTAATTGACTTAATTATTATATTACTTAACAATATCTTGATAAAATATTTGGCACTATAAAAGTAGATATAAAACGTATTGTACCCAATCACTAACTCAAATAAAATTTTATTAATACAATCAATTCAAGATATATTTTATTAAATTATAAGTTAGCCAAAAATTATTTTGGCTAACTTATTATAAACTTTACCACTGATACACACAATATATAACTACTAAAATTTCTGATATAAAAAAAATATTCTTACGGGAAACCTTTACTTGTTAAAACCATTGACTCTAAAAAGAACCTAAGTAATAAATTCAATACATATTAAATAAATACGTAACAATCAGATTCATATTTGCCCGTTCAATAATTAGCTTTTGAAGTTTTGAATAAGAGATCTTCATTGACAAATCTTATTCGTCGAAACTCGATAGGGTGCATGTCCTATAGCTCCCTTCCAGCTCTTTCATCTTTTGGGTGAATATACATATAACTTATATTTATGCATAATTTCAGCTCAATCATAAAAGCGGTGAGTGGATCATACTTTAAAGATTTAAGCCACACTAACATGTTATGATTTGAGCCGATTTTCTTAGTAAAATATGAATAAACAAAAAGATATTAGACACCATCACATATGTTGCTGAATTTCATTAAAAGTAGCTAACGTATTATAGATGTAATTATGAATTTAACAATTTTATACCTGTTGGACCATTTCTGGTGTGACGTCAACCAGGGTCTTGCCAGGGTATGGCAACGTGACGGGCACTATGCCCGCCCAACTCTGTCCCCACATGTCTCCGAGAATATGTGCAGGGATAGGAGCTGACCGGGAGATCCGCTCAGGACCGTAAGATTCCCTGAGGCGACGGCGGACGTAAGCGTGAAGTAACTCATATAAAGGTTTAACCTGAAAAACAATATATTTTTGTTAATCAATTAGAAGGATCAACCTATTTTCTTGTTCTGAGTTAGATCGATCATATAAAATGGTAGGAAAAAAAGATTTTTATTTATAAAATAAGTTTACATTTTCGTAATAAATAGTTTCGCAATAACTGATATAATTTAATAAAAGGAGAACAGAGTAGAACTAGATAAGAAAAATCTAAATTGGTACTACAACAATGCTGGTATATATAAAAACGTACCTGTTCCCAAACTTCATCAATGTCTTGCCTTAAATTCAATGTGCCATATGGGAACATCCAGTATGCAGAAGCATCAGTGAAATCTGAAATTTAAAAATAATGTCCATGTATAAGTACATATTCAAATTCGTCTTGATTTGACTAAAATTGAAACTTTACTGCTAATAGGAACGACATAGATAAATAACGCCTAAGAAAAAACTTAATGCACTGTTGTAGAAATATGAAGTTGCAGAATTTTCTTATATTCGATATCACTTCGTTAAACCATATAAAACTGATAACCAATTCATAATTTTTTAATCATTTATTCCAATAAACAGTATTTCTTAAAACCATATTTTTTTTTATTAAAGTGTATCAAAGTTATATTATATTTCTTGGATCGAACGAACCTGTCTATCAAGGAAAATTATTTAATGTTGTCGGAAAAAGAAAGCTGTGCAAAAATTAAAAAAAAAATTTGTCTATAACTTAGAATCTTACTGTTTAATCTTGCTGCTTGGTTGGTCAAGTCCACTAGCTGTTCATACAGGTCCCTTATCCTCTTGCCGGTATTCCTCCTCCATTCGGTCCACACGTGTTGGAGCTCGTCCCAGTCCCGGGAATGGGACATGATGAACTGTAACTCGGGCTGGAGGTGGAGACCACACTTGAAGGGCTCGTTGTAAGCGCAAATTTCAGCAGTGTTGTACACAGCGAGCATATCATTAATGAGCCGGTTATACTGGAATGAAAATAATATCCTATTTTATTGAATTGAATTGTAGTCAACTCATTTTTATTATTGATTCGTGTTTATTTTCCAAGCACATTATCGACGAAACCATCTAATGAAAGGAAAATGCCGTTGAAACTTCGTCTGTTTATAACATTTTACGTCTAAGCTGCTAGGCTGATTGTGATGAAATTCAATAGGTAAAGAGAGAGTTTGAAACCAAGGACAAGGTTATTTTATTCCAAATTTATCAATAAGATCATAAATAATCGCACTTAATATTTACTTATCAGGTAGTTTCTTAATATATTGATCTCATTCCAATATAATTCACTGATATTCGCTGTTGTCATGATTTTCATAATACCAGTGATTCTTCATACTGGTACTGTGGAAATCATGACAACAGCTCTGAAGTAATACCTGTACCGGACTTATACCAGAAACAATATAGATAATTTCTACTATTTTTCAAGCCAAAATTGTTTTGTTTATTTTGATGTTGGAGATTATTGTGATACCAAATATATACCAAATATACTTGTTTCACTGAAATTGATTTCTGTGGGCAAAATCATATAAGCAGATTTCTCAGTTTGTTTCACAAACTTTTTCTTATAGACTTAATAATATTAAATACATATAAGACAATATTGCATACATAGCTCGGGTCGCAGATTAAATAACTTTTAGCACTTTTATTATAGAAATCCGAAACTACTAAAGTGTCAAAGTCCAGATCCAAGACAATACAGAAAATTTCATTTTCTACACTAATCCTGACCGGAAATCGAATCCAGACCCCAGAAATGGCGACACTTTGAAATCGGTTCACGAGCTATTCAGCCACGGAGGTCGAATAATAATTTGAAAGATGATATCACATCCGTACAGAAAATCACATTCCACCACGAATAAACACTAACAACGTTGTTTGGCAAACTTACTCTATCGAGCTGGTCAGGTGGCAATGCAGCGGGACCAATGATGGAGAGCATCTGGAGCTGACGGAAAGTTTGCTCGTCCCGAACGAAGCCCCTGTTAACCTGTTGCGCTGCTTCCCATAGGCCACGTTGAAATAGTGTATATCGTTGTTGGGCATCCAACTGAAAAACAAATATAAATTGCAAACATATGTTCTTTAAATTGACCTGTGGTTCTTATTCTACGCCATAAATTGTCAGTGTTCAATAGTTCTACATTTTCTAGTATTCGCTTAAAAAATATATCTTGAATACTATTATTGACGCAAATAAACTTGCGATTGCGCAATCCACTATGTACCTAGCCTTAATTAACAAGGACCAAATTAATGCACATCATTTTCAAAACGATAACAATTCTAGTGTCATCTTTGTTATAAAAACATCTGCTAAAACGCAGTCACGTGTCAGGCATTTGCTATATGACCACCATATATGGAAACACGAGGCGAAAATTTGCATATAAGCAATGGAAAAACTTTTATTACACAACCACATGGGATATTCATTCCGTGACTGTCCTTGGGCACAGAATTACTTGACAGTTAGGTGTATTACTATTACTCTTTCAGTGACTTTGACCCATAATTTTATGGCTTAATTTAATCTTATTAACTTTTTTCACCTTTTATGCATTTATCGAACATCGAGCGGAAGCAATAGGGATGACGACTGGGTAAAAAAAAGCAATTCTATTTAGTCCGTCAGTCAGATAATAGAAAAATATTAGATACGTATTTTTTTTTTACTTTAATTAAACAAGAAATAGCTTAGATAACAGGCATTAAAGTTAAGGAGTGGGGGCTCGCTACGTCACAGTTGAGTAGAAAATGTACTCTAACGTGACGACATGCGAAAATTTCAACTCCATGTAACGTCGTAATTTTACGATTACGAAAAATATAAAAAATACGTGTTTAATATTTTTTAACACTCTGTCTGACGGACAAACAAACAAAAATTAGTCGTCATCCCTATTGCAACAAGTGCAATAGCCGAGTTATGTTTTAGAGTGTCTTTTCATAATATTCTTATTGGATGGTCCACACTATAGGTGCAGATCTATTGTCTCTGATTTTGATTCCTTACTTGTCATTTTTAAAGTCTAAAGCTTCATTCAAATTCAAATATAGATTCGCGTTCAAAAAAAAAAAAACAAAACGGCACCATCGACAATCTTGTACGATTCTTGGAAAAAATATCTTATTTATATTTGTATAAGTAACCGTAACCATAAACCCGAAGTCAGTACTGAACACGACATCCCAGAATCTGGCTTCAATATTAGAGTTATCACTAGATGTATACAAAAACTTCTAGTTTTTTATAACATTTATCGTAATACTTCTAGGTAAAAATTGAGTGAGCTCACTTTACAACAATAAGAATAATGTCTCAGGCAACAATACCAATTATCAAAGTGACTCAGATGCCGTGATTGTCAAGAGTCACAGTAATGATTCATCTGTAATAGTGCTTTTAATTACAGCCATTAAAAACAACGTCAGATGGCATTTATATTAAAATAAAATAATAGCATTTCTGCTCAAACGACAAAATAAAAATAAAGTGTGACTATTTTTAAACTCGCGAGGAGGATATTTGTGTTTAAAAATGTCTCCCTTGCGAATTGATCTGAGCCCCAAATTATAACCTCAATAAATTACATTTACCACGTGTTATATATCTGAAACTCAAATTTATTAATGCAATGTTGCTTTAGTAAATCAATAGCAACAAATAATTTGTTATTGAGTTACAAAAACCTGCGTCAAAATGGGGTGGTATTAAAATGTCATCTAAACATTGTATGATCCGATGTTAACATTAAGGCAAATAATTGTTTCACGAAAGTTGTAGATATCGTAGATATAGATATAAAGATATCGTGTGTCGCTTATAATAAAGGAAGCAAGCAAACCATCGTTATATTTCGGTATCGAAGATAAAGTATCTTTTTAGTATACACAGCAGGGCTTGCAATTAGATGAAATGATAATTATTTATTATAAACCAATGGATAAAACAAACACATGGATATAATAAATTTCATTTCATAAAATTGGCGGCCTTATTGCTAAAAACCTTGGTTCAGGTAACCTTGCAAACTGAACAAAATTATATCTAGATTAGATCAGGGTAGCATATATAACCTAACTGTTGACTGCACTTAATTTTCACCGAAGCACTTGTCAAACGCTTTAAGCATTTTTTTCCTTCTCATCCTATGCATGGCACATCGCGTTAATTCGTCATAAGTCGTCACTCGTCACACATTGCGAAACTCATGAGAATGTCCTCTAAAATCGACAATGGTTCGTGTGTGAATCGACAGAGGGTTCTTAAATTACTGTGACATTGGAAATAATTATCATTTAACACTTTATTAGGAAGTGGTGAATCAATTTTGTTAATCTAATCGGCCATAGACAACGTAAATCATACCTCGTAGACATTATAATTATAGAAATTAATTTACAATCAGTGTGACCACCATTTAGAATATTAGTTAGGACGTACATAAGAAAAGAAAAGAATCCAATGGATTTACTTATTACGACTCCAAGAGTGAGCAATCTCTCAAATAAATTCGAGCGCTTTTCCAATCTATCACAGTTTGCCTAATTATTTTATTTTGTTTAACTGTTATTTCCATGTGTTTGTGGATTTAAAAGAGAAAATATTTTTTGTTAGATATAAAATCAATCTTTTCGTCATAAATTGTGAGAAGAAAAATGGAATTATATTCTACGTGTGTCTGTAGTTCAGCCGTCTGTAAAAGCGAATTTTCCACGAACCTATTGGAGCGATTCAATTGAAACTTGGTTTACATTGGAGTTCAATAGCGCAGTGGTTAGCGCTTTAGTCGGTCATAGACCAAAAAACTATTATCAGGAGCTCCTCAGTGCTTCGGAAGGCATGTTAAACCGTTAGTCCCGGCTGCATCTGCAGACGTTAACTACCACCAAACCGCAGTGACCCCGCGTGGTAGGTCATGGCCTATTCTCCATATTCGATTTCATCCATAGGGAAAGGCTATGCTCAGCAGCAGGGATATTATTTGCTTATTAATAGATGATAATGATATATTTATCAAGTCTGTAGCGTAAACACGGACTTGTTAAAATAAATGTAAGTATGATAGCTACATGGGAGAAATCGACTCCTTTTTTCACTTTTTTTTTACACGTTCCTTGAAATAATCGCTTTGGTAAGATTGAATACAAAGATTTTTTACTCTTAAAAATATCAGTTCATTGACATATAACAACAAATTGTTAATCAAATCTTCGTAATGGTTCTACTTGATTCAATCAACATGCTATTATTGACCAAGCTATTGTAATTCAATTCTATTCTTAGACTAAATTAATGAGATTTAAGTCCATCTTTAGTTGACAAAAAAAAATAATTACATGAGGAAAATTACTGAAGTTCCGTTCCACTTATAAAGTCTAAGGTTGATTCCAGTATCAGTGATTAAATCATTTCAAGTAATAATTAAATGAGCAACTTATATCAAGGAAACTTATTTCGGAAATAACAGTGAAGAAAAAGAAGAGCTCCAAATTTTTGCAGCGTTCTCGATGTTTTTCTTTTATTGAAAATGGTGACAATATCAATCAAAGTGGCCCTAAGAGATGATGACGCTGACCAGGAATCTACACTGATTGTGTCAAACGCTCATCCATTATCGATTGACAATGTGGATCATTTAAAATTCTAAGCATACTCTACACATGTATTAGTCTTCTCCTTTTTCGTCTAGTGTCGGAGATTAGCGATCGTCTGTTGTTTCTTGTTCGGAACGTTTGAACTTTATTGAATTTACGTTGGTGAGAATTTAAATCAGTAGTTCGCGAGCGAAACTGTTGGACATCTGTCGCTGCGAACTGTAATGTTCGTTTTAACTCATCGAGAATAAGATCTCGTTCGAATAAATCTTGTTCACACGGCGATTCATCATCAGACATTTTGCGTAACAAAGATGACTGCTTCGAATTCGCTGCGTCACTATCCATGATAATAAGTACGTAATACTGTTTAGAGACAACACAACTGAAAGATAGCAATCCGGTTCGAACGGATCAAAAGAAATTATGTACGATATTAAGCAGGGGTTGGCGACTCACCGCAAGCGATCCTTTACCGCCACGGGTTCCGAGGGCTGGGTTCTGGAACGGGGTGCGTCGACGCGGTTACCAGCGAATATATCATACACGATATATAGTCCATAGGCACTGATCCACCGTTCTTCCGAAATGTCCTTATTCTCGATAACGAACAATTCACCAAGCTCAATCAAAATTAGGTGCGCGCAGTTAACAATTTGAAATCACAGTAGTAAACCGTCACCCAAGGATTAAGGGTGGGGATTTGGAACGAAGACAGCTAATCGCCTTGCCCATAGACAATAAAAATTTTACCCACAGTTGTGTTGTCTTTGTATAGCCAATTAAAGGATTTTAACCCACATCACTGACGCAAGTTTTTGAGCAATAAGGTTTTATGAAGTTTCCTTGTTTTTTTCCTTGCATTATTAGTTAGAGGATAGCGTATTTATTGGACATTATGTAAGGTATTCCAATTTTTGCTACTTATTGTTACCCAGAAGATCCGTCGTCTGGTAAAATCACTACAAAATCTTATTTTTAATATTCTCCTATATTTCAAAGTCCGAGATATGCTAACAAATAGTATTTGTATTAAGCCGAGCCTCGACATTAGGATGGAGAATGCATAACATGTCATTAGCGTCATTCGAGTTTCCAGTTTAAGGGATCTCTTTGTCAGAAGACTGTTCGTTCATATGTATATAATTTATAGCTATATTTTTTAATTAAAGCAATGAAAATTCAATTTTGAATGATAAAAAATATCCTGTATGTATTTTTATAAATATGTAAATCATTTTTATGAGTTTATATAGAAATAAATAGATATAAGTGCAGAGTAAGGTGCTAAAACGCACAATTTATTAACATTTACATTTCTGTATATTTCATAAAAAGCTAGCGAAGTTAACTTAAATATATCGGAACACTAAATAAAACAGCTATGGAGAACATAAGCTATGCAGTTACATAATAAGCGTTCCCACGATAGCTTGAACTTGAAACTTG